AATCCAACTCCATACCGAGAAAAGAGATCCTCTGCACAGGGGCGAGTTTGCTCTTTTCCCAGTTGACCTGAAGGCCCAACTGGCTGAGGTGCGTGAGCACGAGGTCCCTGTGTTCGCATAACTGATCTCGAGAGTGTGCTAGTATAAGCCAGTCGTCGAGATAGTTGAGGAGGCGAACGCCCTGTTCTCTCATGGGAACAAGGGCCCCCTCCGTGACTTTCGTGAAGACACGGGGAGACAGGGACAGCCCGAAGGGCAGGACCTTGTACTGATATGCTCGACCCTCGAACGCAAAGCGCAGAAACGGCCTGTGTCGAGGAAGAATCGAGACATGAAAGTACGCGTCCTTCAGGTCGATCGCTGCAAACCAATCTTGGGGACGGATGCATCCGAAAATGCGTCTCTGCGTGAGCATTTTGAACGGTAGCTTGTGGAGGCTCCGATTCAAAACTCGCAGATCCAAGATCGGTCGTAACCCACCACCTTTCTTGGGTACAATGAAGTAGGGACTGTAGTGCCCTGACCTCATATCGGCTGGAGGGACCGGCTCTATCGCGTCCTTCGCCAGTAGGACTGCGATCTCCGCACGCAAGACATGGGCATCGGCTGCTCTCACTGTAGTGGAGTGGATGGCCCGAAACTTGGGGGGACGCCGGGCGAACTGAATCGCATAGCCGAGCCTGATGGTCCGAATGAGCCAGCGAGACGGACTGGGGAGCGCTAACCAGGCTCTCAGAGACCGTGCAAGCGGGACCAAAGGGACTGTAGGCGTACCCGGAGTGGGGCAGCGAGGTGGAACACAGGGACGTGGCTCGGGAGGCTCTCTCTGGGAGGCGGCCCGTAGCAGGGTCTGTGTGTGCTGTGCAGCACTTACCTGGTTCCACGGGGCAGGAGGTGCAGGAGGCGGCTCGGTGGCGTTCTCGAACTGCACACTGCTGCTCACTCTGGCTTTGCCACCCTTCTTGGCGGGGGCCTGGACGGGCGGGGCGGCCTGCCTGCGACTGGCTCCACGGCGCCGTTTAGGTGGAGGCTGCTGCTGCAGCGCGGGAGCAGGGGCAGACGCAGGAGGACGCCCCCGGCGACGAGCAGACTGAGGAGCCGCAGGCGGTGGGTTGGAGGCAGCAGCTGACCGCCGCGGCAGGATATGCTTGATGGCCTCAGTCTGCTTTTGTACAGCCGAGAACTGCTGGGCGAAGTTCTCGACCGCGTCGCCGAAGAGGCCGGTCTGGGACACGGGGGAGTTGAGGAACCGGAGCTTCTCAGCCTCACTCATGTCTGCCAGACACAGCCAGAGATGGCGCTCCTGGACCACCAAGGTGGACATCGCATGACCCACTGACCGCGCGGTGACCTTCGTCGCACGAAGCGCGAGGTCCGTTGCGGCACGAAGTTCCTGGAGAACTTGTGGATCATGACCACCCTCGTGCAGGTCCTTCAGTGCCTTGGCCTGATGGACCTGCAGCAACGCCATGGCGTGCATGGCAGAGGCAGCTTCCCCACAGGCCTTGTAAGCCTCGTCGAATAGGTCCGACGAGTACCTACAGGCCCGGGAAGGAAGACACGGTTCTCCGCGCCGAGTGGAGTTAGGGCACAGCTGCATTGCAGCGGCCCGCTCCACTGGCGGGATGCGCGTGTATCCCTTAGCTGCCCCGCCATCAAGGGTGGTGAGGGAGGAGGAGCCACCGGAACGGTTTCTGGCAGTAAAAGGTGCCGTCCACATTCCCGTAAGCTCCTCATGCACTTCCGGGAAGAAAGGCACTGGGGTGGGTTGCTGAGAACCAGCACGCGCCACCCCGAGATACCAATCATCCAACCTCGAGGGTTCGGGACACGGTGGAGGATTCCACACGAGCCCGACCCCGTTGGCGGCCCAGGAGAGCATGGCCATCATCTCCGGGTCCGTCTCAGGCACCGCTGGCACCCCCGAAGGAGGCAGCGGTGCCGAGTCGTCGTCCGCAGAGAAGTCTGACCCACCCTCCGATGCAGCGATCGACATCTGGTCACTGGGAGCCCCAAAGGAGACAACCGGTACACACCTCGAGGATGGTCCAGCTTTCTCCAATGGAAGCTCAACTGGCTGCGGAGCATGAGAGGGGTGAGGGCTCCTAGGGGGTTGGTTCCCCGAAGGAGACGCGCTCACCGTGATCCTCAGGTCACCCGTGCCCCCGCCCGAAGCAACCCTCCGAGGAGGATTGGAACGAGGCAGAGGCACGGGGACTCCGCCCCTTTGCAGGAACAGGAGTCTCGACCGTAGCTCCGCGATGGTCATCTTCCCACAATGGGTACATGACTCATCCACAAACGCTGCCTCAGCGTGTTCAATGCCCAGACACACGAGGCAGCGCTTGTGACCATCCTGTGAGCCCAGGTAACGACCGCATCCAGAAACACACAGATAGAAAGTCATCTTTTTTTTTTTTTTTTTTTTTAAAGACGCTGTCTATCTGTGTAAGCTCTTTTAGGGACTACTCTCACTGGTGCTGAAGCACGCAGGGGAACAGCCACTGCGAACACAGACGGGAATGTGCACCCGTCTGCGCGCTGTCTCTCTCTCTCGCTGGCAGGTCTTACCGGCTGTGAGAACAGCCTTTGAGCGCTGAACTGCGCACCTTACCAGCTGTTAAAACAGCTTTTTTGAATTTGCTCAAAAAAACAAAACAAAAAAGACAGACAGAAGAGAGAGGACACAAGACTGCTCGCGCTGCCGTGCTGTAACGCCCGCACCGAACAAGGAGAGATCCAACGAAGGCTTGCCAAGTTTCACACTCTGTAGGATTACCATGAAGCGTTTGGCTCCGAAGCAAAAAGCTAGTGTGCAATCATAACAGCTGCTGTTAAATACCCGCGCTGACGAGGACGCGCAGCTGATGCAAATGATTGCATGCCAATGTGCATTGGCTTGTTTTAGTTTCACTCGAAGTAGATTGGCCTCTCTAGCGAGATTCCTATTGGTCAGTCTGACCTACGTTGTAGTGACTGACCGATAGGGAACACAACCTCGATGTCAAATGCCTAGAAAACTACCGCCCCATTTCTAAGCTTCCTTTTATTTCTTAAGTTCTGGAAAAAGCTGTTCTGTCACAGCTGTTTCCCTTTCTGACCACTCACAACATACTATAACCTTTTCAGTCAGGTTTCAGACCCTTTCATAGCACTGAAACAGCCCTGCTCAAAGTAACCAATGATGTTCTTCTCACACTAGACTCAGGTGATAATGCCTTCCTGATATTATTGGATATCATAATGCCTTCGACACCATTGATCACAATATTCTCCTCACCTGCCTTGATCAGCAGGTGGGCATTAGGGAGACTGCACTACTTTGGTTCCGCTCCTATCTCAAACATAGGACTTTCTCAGTGTCTAATGGCCAGTTCTCCTCATCATCTGCTCCCGCTTCATATGGGGTCCCTCAGGGGTCCATCTTGGGTCCTATGCTCTTCAGTCTGTATGCTCCCACTGGGTGATTATCATACGAAAGCATAACATCTCTTTTCACCTCTATGCGGATGACTCACAACTGTACTTGCCTCTAAAATCTAAGGGACTCCATACAATCTCTCCTGGTCTGTCTCGAAGACATCAAAATGTGGATGGCTAACAACTTTCTCCAGTTAAATGGTGACAAGACAGAAGTCATAAATTTTGGTCCTCCAAGGCAAGATGCACTGTAGTGCAAAATAGGTCACCTCACCCCTTGTGTCAAACCCTATGCCAGAAACCTGGGTGTCATCATCGACTCCGAACTCTGCCTTGATAAACAGATAGCTCTGTTGTCAAAAATAATTTTCACCTGCTCAGAATGATCTCCCGCTTGAAATCATTCCTATCTCACAACGACCTTGAGAAAGTTATCCATGCCTTTATTACAGCACGGCTGGGTTATTGCAATTCCCTCTACCTTGGCCTACCCCAATCCTCACTTAGACGTTTGCAGTTGGTCCAAAACGCAGCTGCGTGTCTTTTAACTGGCACCATGAGGCGTGAGCACATCACCCCCATTCTGGCCTCCTTGCACTGGCTCCCAGTTCTTTTTAGGATTCCGTTCAAAGTTTTATTGTTTGTTTTTAAGGCACTAAATGGGCTGGCCCCAACCTATATTACTGACCTTGTACAGCCGTACTCAGTTCAAAGGTCACTGAGATCCTCAAACAAAGGGCTCCTGCATTTGCCGCGCTGACGGCTCAAACAGAGGGGTGATAGAGCTTTTGCAGTTGCTGCTCCATGTCTGTGGAACCAGCTCCCCCTGGATATTAGATCTGCCCCCTCCATTTCTGCCTTCAAATCCAGGCTAAAAACCCACTTTTATTCCCTGGCCTCCCTTGTTCCATAACCCTGTACTCCTGCTCATTTCTTTATATCTCTGTGTTGTGTACCTTGTTATTGAAGGTTTCCTTTTTATTCTTGTTTTGTATAATTATGACAATTGATCCCATGTGTTTTTTGTATTATTTGTCTTTTTAGTTATTCACTGTACAGCACTTTGGTCAGTTTTATGCTGTGTGTAAATGTGCTTTATAAATTAAATTAATTTATTTATTAAATTTGTATTGTTAATTGGTGCACCTATATTTGTTTCTTGTATCAAAAGGTGATTAGTGAAGTATTCTGAGATATAAAGGAAAATGTAAAAAATGGTAGAATAACCCCTGGTCTCCCCAGGGGAATGAAGATGATTATGATCCATACACCAAAACCGTTGTAGGAGATATATGGTGTACAGTTAGTGTTACAGGCTAAATGATAATAATAACATGATTCACTCAGCAACTGCAACATTATTCATAACCACATTATTATTCACACCAACGAAGTAGCCTATTATGAACGCCATTTTTATCACAGGCATTTTTTTTAATGCCTGTTTAAAAATAATCTAATGTCTAATCACGACGTTAGATAATATTTATTTTGGTAAGGAAAAACATCAGTCTTCTTCAGTAATAACAAAGTTGGAATAATAATCTGCCACTGGAGGGCAATAGAGGAAAACGCTTTCCTTTTTGTTGCTGTGGAAACGACACACGCGCAAAAAGTTTGTCCAGAAAGCTTTTTGTGGGACTTAAAAGATGAATTTGGAGGATTACTTTCAGTCGGTTTTCAAAGAACGACTCTCATTGTAAGTATATGTAATTTATTACACCACATCTTGTTTTTGTATCCGTTAATCCGTTATGGCCACTCAGATTCATAGTCGTTGAAGTGAAAAACTGTAGTCAAAGCTTTGTTCGGGCGGATAAAGATGGTGAATTGCGTGTACTCAAGAGATTGTTCAACCCTATAGAAATAAGGCCGTGCAGAAGGATTTGACGGATATGAGTACAAGCGTAATGCAACTTTTGGAGGTGCGCGAGGAGTGCACGAGCGTGACCACAGCACTGGAAGCGCAGAAAGAGGTGGTCGTATGAAAAACAAAAACCTACTGTATTTACATTTTCGCTGTTTCAGTTTGAATGAGTGTAATGTTTCCGTGCTCCGACATGTGTGTGCTTTTGTCAGGAGATGCAGATGAAGCGGGAGAGTTTAAGAGAGAGAGACGAAAACATGAAGAAAGAGGAGGAGAAACTGAAGAAATCCATACTGAAATATAACAAGTTTTTGCAAGTAAAACAATATTCTAAAACAACTACTTGCATAGGAATGAATAATATGTAAAATTACTTTTTGGACACCTTTTTTTTGTGTTTTTCTTTCCCTTTAGGAAAATGATGCCAGGCGTTTGCGTGCCATAAAGATAGCAGAGGCAGAGAGAGCTCAAGTAAGACTGAAAGAACTGGAGATTCAGAAGCTAAAGACAGAGAATGACGCCCTGCAGGCACGTAAAGAGCTTCTGGAGGAACGTGTAGGAAAAGCCATATGCTACCAAGAGTTCCTGGAAAGAGCTGCAAAAATGTCCGGAAAGGTAGGCATTAAATAACTAGGTCTTGCTGTTGTTGTGTCTGGAATGGGGAGAGGTACTGACACAACTCAGAGAAACTGTCAAGCTGTCTGGACTCACCTGCCTCATTTGACTGAAGAGTGAGACTTTCCACACTTTGAGAGTCTGAACTAAAGACTGTGTAGGGCAGAGAGATACATATAAATTGCACCGCCAACTCCAAGGTTCCTGCGGGGCATTTTAACACAACGGCAAACACAACTGCAAAGGTGCAAGTTTTGCACCAGCAGAAAAACTGAAGGGTGTGGGTTCTTCACACTAGTCGGCACCTCCACCTGAGATGTTGGGCTACTGATAAAACAGGCCCTTATGTTAACTCCCACTATAAAAAGGAAGAATACTGCTCTAGTGTGGAATTATTACTTTGTTTTTTGAAATGCCAGAAGGATGGTTGATGAACAGTAGAATGAAAAACATAATGACCATCTGTCATGTGATCAGTCACATTACATCCAGTTATGCATGTTAGATTTGAACTTTTATTAATCACTGTTACATGTTTTAAGATGTTACATGTTATGTGTTTAGTATTTATATATTTGCTTAGCCTACATAATATTATGTATTTTGATAATGGGTAAGTTTGTTCTTTATGTGCACACAGTATTAATTTTCATTTTTTCAGGTCTTAAAAAATCTTACATTTGATTTTAAAAAATGTGCAGCAGCCCTGAATGCTCAAACACTGGAGGAATGATAACTCTTTGTTTATTCCTCCTAAGCGCGCCCAGAAGCTTTGTCTTAAAATGTTTTTATCACTCATCAGTTGGAAAAAACGTTCTGAAAGTGATTCCAACGATATTGTTTCTCTGTGCCTTTATTATTATAGTTGTGGTGTGGACTCTGCTATTCTTTTATATTTAGAACAATGTTTAGAACTAAATCTTTATCATTATCATTATAGTTATCGTCCTTGGTGTGAATGGGCCTTTATTCTGTGTGGTTGGATTTTCTGTTTTCTGAATGAGGCAGACGGGGTAACAAGAAAATATCTGCATAAAGATACCGAGTTATTTTTTAATGTTTGAAGACAAAACGGATGCATTTTTGAAAGTTTTACATTATATTTAAATATCTAAAATATTAATGTTACACTTTTTCTTTCTCTTCCCCCCCTCTCCCAATTTTTCTCATGACATTTGAGTTTGAGAATATTGGTCAAGTCATTGACCGTCTTCAAGCACTCCGGTCCATTCACAAGGAACTTCTAGAAAACCAGACTGCGTTAGAGAAAGAGAGAGAGAGGACAAAGCGGGAACTGACACAGTACATAAATAAGCAGCGAACTGTTCTCCTGCACTGTAACAACCAACTACACCAGCAACAGACGCAGCTAGACAGCATACGCTTAGAAGCATACAAATGGGTAAAAACATACACACACACACACACATATTTACAGAGGGTGAGTGTGTTAATGTACAAACACAAAAAGACACACAGATGTCACTGTGGCACCTCTGTCTTTTGTACTGTTCTGTCTCCCAAGATTACAGAATCTTCATGTATTCTACAGGAATTAAAACTGAAGCACTTCTGTTCCACTGCAGCAAAAGAGATTCTCTATTTTGCTCAGCTAAAGACCACGATCCATAACATTTATCAAATGATCACACATTACAACAGAAGAGTCTCTGTGGACTCTGAGGACACCTTCAAGCAGTTGGAAATGGTGAATAATGTTTTGTTTGTCAAGTATTTGTTGTTGATGTGTTTTTTATTAAAACGAGGTACAGTAAAGTTCTTAAAAGTCATCACAGCAATGTGTGATCAAATGCAGCATGCAAGCTGATGTTTCACAACTGCTGTGGTGAATAACTCTCTTTTTTTTTCCAGATTCAGAAATATTTTCAGCTTATGGGAGCTCTAGTGGATGATGATCTAAAGTTCAACATTATGACAATGCCGAATCGAACTGATGAAAATGACTGAGGAGATTAAGACCCGAGCTCTGAGGATGTACAGTATATCAACTGAAAATCACCAGATGTCTAAGCTAAATAAAAATCATCATCTGACCACCCTTTTGACAGGATTATGCAATGGGGTGGGGAGGGGCAACAGGGATACTGTATGTATTACAAGGATGATTCATTTGAAGGGTTTTCCCTTTTAATTAATCAGTGAAATATTATCAAAGCATGTTGCCTTTCTATTTCTATGGAAGCTTGTTTCTGCCACTGAATAAAAAAAAAGGTAATTGTGACTTTTTATCTCCCGTTCTGACTTTTTTTCTCAGAATTGGACTTTATAATTATAATGATGACAAATGAAAACAATAGGTGTTTTCATTCTGAAATCAAACATATCTGAGTGGCCTACATACAAAAATCTGGGTAAAAGTATTAACAAAAGATGAATGTGAACACTTCTGAATGCTTCATGAGTCTCAGTCACAGTGGGCTTTATTGATTTTATTTATCTAATAACATAAGAGTAATAACGGTGATTATCTTGCGCTGTGCTTTCGTTTCTAGTTCTCTTTCATTTTTGTTTTTTACCCTTTCCTTTCTTTCCTTTCTTGGGCTTTGCGCTGGCCTTCGTGGCTTTGCGCACACAAAAGCCTCTCCAGTGGGCCTGAATGATAGTGGCCGCTTGGCTCTGCATCTCTCTTTCTTTTTCTTGCTGTTTCCTCTTCTCCTGAGCCTCCTGTCGCTCCTTCATAATCTGGGAGTACTCCAGGTTCATAACTGCAAAAAGTTCCTCCAGCCCTGTCAGCTCTGTCTCATCTTTCTCGTGCATGCAAGTAATTTCCTCCAACTCTGTCTAGACACACATATACACGTATAAAATCAAATACATGTATGCATAAAGACAACATACATTTAAATATTAAAATACATTCACACTGATACATTGTATTTTTTAAATGCAATGTATATACTGTTCAAAAGTTTGGAGTCGGTAAGATTTTTGTATGTTTTTGAAACTTATGCTCACCAAGGCTGCATTTATTTGATCAAAATACAGTAAAAACAGTCATATTGTGATATATTACTACAATTTAAAATAACTATTCTCTATTTTATTATATTTTTTATGTATTTTATTCCTGTGATGGCAAAGCTGAATTTTCAGCATCATTACTCCAGTCTTCAGTGTCCCATGATCCTTCAGAAATCATTTTAATATGCTGATTTGATGCTCATTTCATCTTATTATTACAGTTGAAAATGGTTGTTCTGCTTTACATTTTTTGTGGAAACTATAAAAAATATTTTTTTGAGGGGGGGGGGGGGGGGGGGGGGGGGGTTGATTCTTTGATGAATAAAGAACAGCATTTATTTGAAAATATTTTTTTTTGTAACAATGTAAAAGTCACATGAATGCTGAATAAAATTCATTTCGAGACATATAACCTACAATAAATCTTGTAAAAAGCCCACACTTTTGAACGGTATCTGCAAATACATCCGAAAATGATATTGCATCAAACATCAGTAAAGGCCATGTTAGATTAATGTCTACCTGTTTCTCTCCCATTTCAGCATCGTATTTCTGGATCAAGTTCTCTATCTCTGTTTCTTCCTTGTATTTTTTCTGCAAATCATAAATCAGTAACATTACAAAATAATCACTATACGCATGCTTCCTGTTTCATTAACTGGATGAGCCCTGAGTGTGCACACACCTTTCGTAGTTTCAGTTCGCCCTCTCTGTTTTCTGAAATCACATTATTGAACTGAGCTCTCAGTTGATTGGCCTCCTGCTGCATACGAGCTCTCTTCCCCTCTGAAGTTTTCTTTTCTGATTGGCTCTGTTTCTCAGCGTCCTGCTGAGTTCGGATAACAGACTCTTCCAAACCCTTTTCCATCTGATGCAGTGAGCTCCTCAGCTGGTGCACTTTATTATTCAACATGGAGATCTAATTAGGCGTGAAAACCAGACAGACAGAGAAAGAAAAGGGGAGAAAAATAAAGAAGGAGAGCACGTAGTTTGGAGAACTCATTCATCTGTCAACATTCTGTCATCTAACTAATCACAACTGTCAACTTTATAAACATTGTTTGCTCCTTATGGTGCTTCTCACCTCTGTATCCTTGGCTTTTATTGCCATTGCAACCTCTTTGTCCAGTGAGTCCATCACTGCCTGGTTGGCAGAGTGACGTAGACTGACTTCCAGCATCATCTCTCTGCGATCTCTCTCCTCCGTAGGGGTTGTGAGGAGCCTCTCCAAAACGACCTCCCTCAACTCGCACAGGCCATCTCTCAAATTCTGAGACCCCATCTCTCCCCCTGTGTTAGGTTCTATCCGTTTTAGCACCTCTCTTGCCCTAAATAGCCGCACAATGTTACGAAAGGAATCCTGAATTGCTTTTGCTGATTTGGCTAGTTGTTCCTTTTGTTCAAGACTCCCATCAAGCACCATAGCTTGGTACTTTTCTTCAAGTCTATGATGCTCTTTCAGGGCCCTCACCACCTCCTCTCCCAGGCTCGGGGAAAGAGCTTCTGGACAGTTCAGCAAAGTGCGTAAAAGAGAGGCTATCTCCATCTGATTAATGCACTCATCTAGTACCCCTAAAATGAGCTTTGCTTCCCGAGATGATAAAGTCTTCCTGGAGGGGTTGATGGTCTTTAAGAGGTCTGCCTTAGTTTTGTTTGGAATGCTGGCTGCATCTGATAGTCTCTCTTCAAGGGGGAGATCATCTAATTTTGAGCTCATCATTAGAGGTCTCTTCTTTGATTGAGTAAGGGAGAGAAAACTATTCACACACACCAAATAAACAGACAATAGATAATCTTTGGTGAAGCATTACTAACAATATAGATTTTAAAAACATTTAAAACAAGATTTTGAAAGACATTTAAATACAGAAGGTGCAAGTCTCCACAAAGCTATTTAAAATGCATTAAAATGCAATTCATACAAAACAATACCTAAGTACACAAATGTTTTCATTTGAATGATAAAAACAGTTCTGCATTAAAATTCATTTTAATATGTAATACGTCACCGTGCTATTCTTTTTGGTCAAAATCCGTATTCACTTGATCACAGTCAAACTCAAACTCTGTTGTTGTTGTTTATACCAGTTGCCGTGACAACCGGCGTTGGCATGACATTCTTATCTTTAACCCCTCCACTCCATTCAGTGACTTCCCACTCGACTCCAGCAAAGAACAAAATTAGAAATCTCACTCATCGCTTAATTATATACGTGTATGAAAAAAAACATAAACCTCATATTATCAATGAATGAATTAAAATGTTTGGCACAAGGAACATTTTTCAAATCGTGACTTTTATTGTGACATTTCAGCTGTTTTATCTCTGCGATCAAAAACGACACTGTCGTAAAAAGACGTAACGTCAGATCCTCCTGCTTGACGGCGTCGGTTCTTTTATTTATAATGTTAAAAACGCGATTAAATCGCATTTTTCTGCGTTATAAAGCTAAATTAGTTTATTACTAACATAGAAAGCAGCTATATACCTTGCGCTTGCGATGGTATTTTTTATAACAGCCGACGATAATGACGTAAACAGACAGGCTCTGTTAGTTTTTAATTCTGATTTGTTTAACTTGGACGTCTGTTAAAGTTCAGTTAAAACACATTTTAGCATAGACGCGCTCAGTTTGGTGTTTGGGGACAATAAAGCGGTTTCTGTAACTCGTGTCGTGTAGCCCAAGTTTCTCTGCAGCAGTGAAAGGTTAGTTTATTGAACATAGAGACTCCGTGTCCCCTAAAACCTACGGTCCTCTCGCCGTTCTGCGGGATGGCGGACGGGGACGACGATGTGCCGCTGATTCTGACCTGGGACGATGCGACCAGCGGGCTGCTGGAGGAAGACGAGAGTGAGTATATGTGTCCTTACTACACCTCATTCAGCTGACGCTTCTTGTGCAGTATTGTTCGGTCACCTGTATTTACCTGAGCTTTGCTGGTGGTAGAGCGGACTGCGTACAGATCTTTAACCGGCTTTCAGCCCTCTTGTAAAGATCTGTCACCGGTTTGGTGTGCAGCATCCTTCATGAATTCTGTCAATGGCCTCTCTCTCTCCTTGGTTTTGTCTGAGCTGTCAGATACTGTAGAGCAGGGAGTTTGAAACTTTTCATTCCAAGGTCCAAGGGCCGCAAATATAATGTAAATACAAATCCTGGCGAAGTAGCTGTATATTTTCTTGTATGCTATAAAGAGAAGTATTTTAAGCGTGATATTATAAAGACAACATCAATCGCTTTGATATCTCACTGGTAACAAGTAGTGGAATCAATAGACCAATAGCCCTATAAACACCATTTATAAAATTCTCTGAATTGTCTACAGACTCCCTATAGTTCCCTGGTGTTCCAAGCAGAACCGACATTTGAAAACTTCTGCTGTTGGGTGTCAGTTAACAGTGATTAACAGTGATACTCTTACAGAACTGTTGATTATTAGACTTTGCTGAGATAAGTTACTGCAGGCTCTTTAACCCCCAGACTTCCATCATGTGACAGTGGATAGCAAAGATGGCCATTTATATAGTGTGAGTTCCAAACACTGACTCTAGAGGGCTTGGCAGTCAAACCTTTTCGTCATTGTTGACTGCATTATTGACATTGCTAATGCGCTGGGAGATGATTTGTAGGCCTTCTGCATAGGCACAATTTACGGTTTTAGTAGAGCTAAAGCATGGCTGTTTCCCCCCACATCGCTTTATATAAGCTTTTCTAATGTTGAATTTAATTTCATCAGTGTGTGCCAGCTGTCATCAGTGGTGGATCTTGTTATTGAGGGGCGTGAGATTGCTAGACTTAATCATGATGCCATCACACAATATATCTTTGATGTTCATGTGAAAATAATAATTGCACCCGCAACTTACAAAAAACTCATATTTTCATATTGTTGACAATCCAGTTTTTACTTGGAAGTGAACAAATTATCTGCTACATTCAGATATACATATCAGTAGTTCATCAAAACACACAAAAAATAAGTTTATGAAGTACGTCATGTTGGCTTGACGGCCATACATCGGTAGATAGTTTTATTGAACTGTGTTACGTGTGGCATCTTTCACTCTAAAAAACAGATTCGCCATTGGATATTGCTTATAGTGCTATTTGGCTTATGTTGTACTTAAGGCGTCTTTACACAGCTGAGTTAAGGCTACTATGTGCCTGCTCAAAATTCAGTCTAAAGAAGCAATTTAGCATAAAAGCCAGACTAAATTATGCCTGCTCTCACCCACCTCAGCCCCTAGAATCAAAGTTGTAATTTTGGTGTTAAGCCATTTATGCCACCTCTGATCAGCATTAAACCTTAGACTTAGGCCACTTTGAAAGTGCTTCTGTGACACATTTGCACTTTGCAGTGTAAATTTAAGGAAAATAATCTAATTAAAAGGCTACTTTACACAGCAGAGTTAAATAGGCTATGCTCTGTGCCTGCTCAATTCTGTGTAAAGACCAGACATCATGCTGGATAAGTATACAGTTGAAATTGCTTTGTAAATGCATTTATGCCACTTCTGAGCAGCATTAAAAAGTCTGTAAAGACACCTAAATGCCACTTCAGAAGCGCATCTGTGACACCTTCGCAGTGTACATTTGGTATAAGTGCTGTGTTCAGAACTGTGAGACCTTTGGTGTAAGTGGTTTAAAAATCACTGGAGAGATGCTGCGCTCTAGTGCTATTGTGTGGTATAGCATTTTGGTGAAAACATTAACAAACATTATGTGAATCAATTACTAATAGACTATTTCTGTTTGGTCATTTTTTGGGGGCAGGACACTGTGAAGTACTTTCACTTTAAGAGTGAAGTGTTCCCAACCCAAACGATCATGTGTTCAAGTGTCCAATCCAGCAGCATACCAGCTTTTGTACCACACACACACACACACACACACACACACACACACACACACACACACACACACACACACACACACACACACACACACACACACACACACACACACACACACACACACACACACACATGTTGGTGCAACAGCATTATGAGGACTCTCCATAGGCGTAATGGTTTTTATACCGTAAAAACTATATATTCTATCCCCCTACACTGCCCCTATCCCTAAACCTACCCATCACAGGAGACATGCAGCATTTTTAATTTTTTAATAAAACATTGTTTTTTATGTTTTTTAAGCCATTTGATTTATGAGGACTTTTGAAATGTCCTCATAAACCACCCATAAGTTGTAATACCAGTGTAATACACATGTCATTATACAAATTTGTGTCCTCATAAATCACATAAACCAACTCACACACACACACACACACACACACAGACACACACACACACACACACACACACAGACAGACAGAGGAGTTAAAATGCTGTGTCAGCCTATGGCAAATACAACAGTGTTTGTGGCCCCCTCTCCACTCCCATCCGGCACACACACAGTCCATGGCCTTGTGTCAAAACTGATGAGAGCTGGACGCGTGAATATTTTGAGGACCTGAATGGAAATTGTAGCGCTCTTTTGGGATTTGACATGTTCATTTAGTTAGCCAAGAAAATTCTTCATTAAAAAAAACAACGTAAGGACACAGTCTGTCTTTTTGGTTCCTGGACAGCTGTCTCTTAATTTATGAGGAAAGAAGCTGACGGGAATATCAGATGCCTTAACTTCCTCATTCTGCCTCAAGCTGCTATCTCAAAATGTTTGTCATTGTCATGGTGAAGATTGTTTGGATATTTTAAATCTCTGATCATTAGTTCCGCTTTGTTTCTTCGTGTTTGAAGGAAATCTGGAACTAGACTGAAAAGAAAACTGCTATCAGTGCTGTCTCTCTTGTTCGCTCTTGCTCTGATATGGCAGAGACATTTCATGACAGATCTCCACATCTCATTTTATGATCAGACAGACACAGAGCAAAACCCACACTGTTGTTGTCATGTGCGTACTCAATAAGAGCTGTTTGCAATGAACTGATCGGCAATGGAGTAACTCATTCAATCAGCTTGTGTTTGGTCAAACTAAAAGCTCTTACTGTTTGTGATTTAATCGGTAAGGCATTCATTTACCAGGCTTTGCCCTGACAGATCGTTTAAAAGGGTGTTAGTGGATTAATGTTATATTCATTGCTTACAGAGAAGCAATGGTAAGTATAAATCGAAAAAATGAATTGAAACTTTTTACTTCCCTCTGAGTCAAACGAGGCTCTCAGCTTGGTAGATTTGTTCAGTACTCAAAGGACAGCTGCGTTTTTGAGCTTGGAGAAAAAAAGGACTAAAATGGACACTGTATATAGAGGATATAGCACTGGAAACAGAAGATGACACGGAAGAGAGGAGGCTATGACAGAGAGACTGAAACCGAGCTGATGGGGATGGCTGGGAAAGGGACTAGTGTCAGACAAAGCAACTCCAAGATTCCGAAGGACATTCTCACTGTGTGGGACTGATGCTTAAGAAAATCCACTGGACTATCTATTCAACTGCTGGGTTACACTGTGATCTCGGAACCATCAACAGCGTTTCCTTCCCACATATCCTCTGAAATAGAGGGGAAAAGTGCAGAAAGTGGAATCCTTTTGGAATATCGAGCTATTTGGGATTCAACAGTCCAGTCAGTGTTTTGGGAAGCAGCTCTGAAGTGCATTTTGTTCGCATTTGATTTTTTTCAGTATTTAATTGTCTTTGAATGTCTAAATCTTGTTGATGTTATTGAAAGCAGCCCTAATCTAATTCTTCACTTTTCTATAAAATTGTCTAATCAATTTTTTTTATAAGCAAAACTTTGTGGGATCCTCTTTTGTGGACATTTCTTATGTTTTTGCCAGCGAAAGAGACATTTTTTGTAATTTATTTAGTTATTTTTAGCATGGAAACACATTATTAGCAATTGTTTTTTGTCTTTCTTAACAAACGTTACAATCAAATGAATGTATGAAGGTGCAGAGAGAGATATTTAGAGTTTTAAAGTAGCGTTTGGCCTGATTTGACTTGAGTTTTCCTGGAAACTGTGTCGTGTTTGGAGGAATCGTGAGCATAACCACAGGATTCTGTTCTGCTTTCGGACCGTTGGCCACAGCAGCTGGCACAATGAAACTCACATGTTCGAGTCCATTGTTTATAATTAACCCTTACAGCGCTAAAACTGCTTGACCAGTCACAGACCAGTCTGCTCTCTGTCTGACTACTGGGACGTGGGGCCGATCACAGCGGCTGCTATGGAAATCAGTAGTACGGTTGACAACATGACTGGACTAACACATGATAGGCCAGTCCAAACATCCTCGTTCTGCCAGCAGTTTCCGTCAGTCGGTATGCTATTGAAATGTGTTGATCAACTGGCTCAAAACCTCTACCTACCTAGAAGTTAATGCTTATTTTATATCGAGAAATAATGTTTACTATATATTTTTTTCTTTCTCTACACAGATGCGGCAGGAAATTATGATGTTGTGAATAATGTTGTCATACCGACCCCAGGAGCACCAGACCCAAGAGCCCAGAATTCTTTGCGGCAGAGTTGGGAAATGAACTACCAGGAAGCGGCAATATATCTGCAGGTCATCTTTTGAACTCCCAATGAAGCACCTAAATAGATGATCACAAACACACACTCAGGGCTAATAATAATTCTTCCTTTCCCATTTGTCTGTGTTTGTCCTCAGGAGGGAGAGAATAATGACAAGTTTTTCACTCATCCGCGAAGTGCCCACGCGCTCAGCGCCTACCTGTTTGCTCACAATCACCTTTTCTATGTGATGGAGCTGCTGACTGCGCTGTTACTCATGCTACTGTCCCTCTCAGAGGCCCCTGCCGTCCCCTTCCTGCGCTTGGACGTCTATGTATGTGACTTCTATTTGCACTGTGTGCATACACTACCATTTCAAAGTTTGGGGTCGGTAAAGGCCCTTGCACACTGAGTCCGTAATTCGCGTCCGAAATTTTCGCACGTTAAAAAATAAATACGACCTCACGTCATGTCAATCACGCTTGCACACTGCCTCCGAAACTTTCGTCCGTCATAAAATAAATCGTATCGGGTTTGATTTTCTGCGTTTTTCGCATTTGTAGCAAGCAGTTTGAATGGTATTTGAATGGTGTTTTGACAATTCAGAGCCACTGAATCACGAATACGAAAAAAAGCATACGAAAATTTCGGACTCAGTGTGCAAGGGCTACTTGAGAAGAGAAATGAATTCGTTATTCAGCAAGGATGCATTAAATTGATCAGAAGGGGCAGTAAAGACTTCTAAATTGTTACAAAATGATTCTATTTCAAATAAATGCTTTTATTTAGAAATTTATATTAATTGAAGAATCCTGAATTGTTTTTCGTTTTCTACTGAAATATTAAACGGCACAACCGTTTTCAAAACTGATACTAATAAGAAATGTTTCTTGACCACCAAATCAGCAGACTGGAGTAATAACTGCTGAAAAATCAGCTTTGCCCTCACAGGAATACAGAAAGGACATTTTGAAATGTATTAAAGCAGGAAACAGATATTTTAAGTTATAATAATAATAAATTGTAATAATATTTCACAATATTATGTTTTTTTTTACTGTATTTCAAATAAATGCAGCCTTGGTAAGCATAAGACACTTATTTGGAAAAACATTCAAAAATCTTACAGAGTACCGACCCCAAACTTTTGAAAGGTAGTGTATGTGTGTAAAGCCATACTGAGACAGGACTTGTTTCTCATTTGGACATCTATAGATTTGCATGGCACCTCATTGATAAAAGTCATGCATTCGGATGGCGTTTTTTTTCCTATTCTGTGAACCAACTCACATGGTCGTATGATTGACTGCTGTAAATAAAATGTCATATGCTTGGAATAAGAATAAATTCATATTTATTTGAATAATAGTAATATCCTATTTGGTTATTTAAATATGTTTAAAAATAGGAAAATAGACGCTAAAATAGATAGTTGGATTGCTTTTCTGTAATGCATTTTATCTCTCAAAATGATGGATGTAATTTTAAAAAACAGCAGTTAATTTTGGCCGAGGATTTTTACGCGGGTTTTGGAAGAGAAACAGACATTCTGGATTCGGACGGCAATAAAATCACCGACTAGTCCCTGCAAATGTTGAACATACGTTACGTCCCCATCAGAAACAATTACCGTCCAGACAGGGCTTATGCCTTTGTAAAACAAATTTGTATGCTTGTGGATTTCGATTATATGAATAAGACTTTGTACTTGTACACAAACACTTACAAGTGTGTATTTTTGTTCCTGTCAGATTCATGCGACACTGGAGTTATTGGCATTGGCGTTGGTGGCATTTGAGTTGGGTATGAAGCTCCGATGGCTTGGCTTTTACACCTTTATACAGCATAAAAGGACCATGGTGAAGGTGTGTGGATTTTGTAATAGACTATGTTCATTTAAAATGGTTTATGTTTTCCTCTCTGTGTCGGGGTGCATCATAGATTCATATTCACAGAAGTTCAGCTCAAGAATCCTGTTATCCTCTCTTGATTTGTGTGCTTTTCAGACGTGTGTCCTGTTTCTTCAATTCATCGAGGCGATTGTGGTCTTAATCCGGCAGACATCTCACCTGCGTGTGACGAGAGCCCTGCGACCGATCTTTTTGGTGGACTGCCGTTACTGTGGAGCCGTTCGCAGGCATATTATTATTATGTTTTATAATAATTTCTAAATTATTATTATTATTATTAAATTAAAAGTTTTTTATTCTGTTGCTGTTTCTGAGATCTTATAAAAGCAATAAGCTGCTTGAGGTTGTGCGTTACACCGATTTTGCCTAAAATCCACTTTAACATGGGGAAATTTCTGTATAGCATGTCCTTGACACATTGGATACATTGTAGTGATATTCTGACGCTCTATCTCTGTTTCTGTCCTCCCTCAGAAACCTGAGGCAGATATTTCAGTCTCTTCCTCCCTTCATTGATATTCTTCTGCTGTTGCTTTTCTTCATGGTCATCTTTGCCATCCTGGGATTTTGCTTGTTCTCAGGCAACTCAGCTGACCCGGTTAGTGCATCACAGTCACACACTCACCTTTATGTTCCACATGTTTCTCTATCTCTCACACACATACAAACTCAGGAAGACTTCTCTTTCTTTCTACAGTATTTTAGCACACTTGAGAACAGCATTGTGAGTCTGTTCGTCCTTCTGACCACTGCAAAGTAAGTATGTAGCCTCACTGTGGGGCACACATCCTGGCTAAGATAACATGACTCTGAGTCTCAGTGGGGTTGTTTCATGTCTTCCTGTAACTGAGCTAGTAATACAAATGTTATCAGTTCAAAAACCCCTGGAGTTTTTTTAACTAGAGATTTTCTCAGATCCTCTGTTATCATTATGCCCTTGAGCAACGTAATTAACCCCAGGTTGCTACAGTCACTGTTGAAAATGTAGTAATAGTCCATTTCAATAAGAAGGTGTTTGCTAAATGATTCATAGTAAACTATCCATCTATAAAGACCTCAGAGTCTTTAGTAGATTTACAAGTTTTTCCATCTTTTTTCTTCACTAGTTTTCCAGATGTGATGATGCCAGCATATTCAAAGAATCGTTGGTCATGCATTTTCTTCATTGTGTATCTGTCCATCGAGCTCTACTTCATCATGAATCTGGTCTGTAATGAACAACATCAGATCTGTTTGTTATAATGTATTCATTTTTGGAAATGGTCTTTTGGGGCAGTGTGAACTAGCCTTTACCTTGAGTTTGCTATTCTTTTTTGCCTCTCAGCTCCTGGCAGTAGTTTTTGACACCTTTAATGGAGTCGAGAAGATGAAATTCAAATCTCTGCTTTTACACAAGCGATCTGCCATCGAGCACGCCTTCCAGCTGCTGCTTAGTCGGCAGGTGAGATTTATACAGATAACAATCTTTCCCATCTCTTGGTTTTTTATGACTGTTTTTTAGCCTTGTGTACTTTGTGAATAAAAGTGAATGTGATAAATCTGCATGTGTGTCTTTTATTTAGAGGCCAGATGGAGTGTCTTTGAAGCAGTTTGATGGACTGATGCGATTCTATCGTCCACGAATGACTGCACGGGATCGTTTTCTCACCTTCAAAGCCCTTAACTATTCAGACGCAACCATGCTGAGGTACACACACATGCTCACAAGTGCATATGCTCACATTCTTTTGATTATTTTAATAGATGATGAGTTTTTAAGGTGTATTTGTGCTTGTGTTTTAGTCTCCAGGACTTTTATAAGTTTTATGAAGTGATTGGGCTAAAATGGAAGGTCAGATTTCACACACCGTCACATGATGATTATACTCCCAGCGTGTATGTTAAACCCTCTTGAGCCAGAACATCTGGTGTGTGTGTGTGTTGCAGGCTCGACGGAGTGGGGAGTACTGGTTTGATGATCTTCCTCGCACAGCATTCCTCATTTTCAAAGGTTTTTAAGGCTTCCTTGTCATTTTAATTCAATTGTATTAGTTACAGTATTTTACACTTTAATGATCTGCTCAGAATGACCAGGTACATTTATGATTAGTTGGCATCAAATATTTTTCTTCCATAATACTTTATGATCATTATTCTTTCTTTTTTTTAACAGGAATGAATTTACTTGTGAAATCCAAAGCTTTTCAATATGCAATGTGTAAGTTATGTTTCTTACATACCTGGTTGTATGCTCTACCCCTTTAGATATTAACATGCAATACCTGATCAGAATATATACTCCTTGAAACCCATTAGCTTCTGGGTTAATAGAAAAATGGGTATTCATATTTGTCTGATATTCTCTTAGTACCTCTTAGTACCTCCCAAAGACACAGTAAAACAGTATTGTGAAAAATTTATATATTGTGAAATTTAAAATTTATTTAAAGCTGCAGTCCGGAACTTTTCCTCTTTGTCGCCATCTCTCTGTTCGAAATCTGTAACTGCAGTGATTCGCGGAATTATTATCTTTACGTGGGTTGTAAATCGGCATGAAACAGCGCGGATGAACACAGTGCTTTGAGGCGAGTGCTGCTGTCAGTCACCGCACTGTGTGGATACTGTCATACAGAATCACAGATTCACTTTTTGAAAGTTTGACCAACATAAGAATTTTCATAAGAAAATGTCTTCTGAACAAGTAAGTAAAATCCATTTTTGTTCTGACCAACTAAGGGGGAAAAAGCATTCGACATGATAAGCTTCGTTAGATTTAATCAACATGATTTACAGCAACCGTGCAAATTATAGCCTACTTTGTTCTCAAATTGTTCATGTTAACAACATCAGCATTGCGTGACTAATGTTAAATTTAATGTGTTTTATGGTTACCTGCGTAGTTCAGAATTCATATTCTCCATAATAGCAAAACGAGAAAGGCACAACAAAGGAAACTCCATAACTGTGTGAATTAAGAAAACGTACTGTTACACGATTGAACTATTGAAATGTCTTACTTGTTCAGCAGAAAAAAGCCGTCTCTTCTTCCGTTTTGAACCCCTTCAAAACACGGAGTTCACGCACTTTTCAAAAGCCCCGCCGATGTTTAAATCCTTGTGTTCGCATGAGACGGTTTCTTTCTCTTTCTCTAGCCACCTTAAATCCGAAGTACGAAGTCTTTTGGGTTTTATAACTGCTGAATCTCCAGTTGACACTGATGATTGTTGTTTGGATCTTTCTGGATGCCATAAGTTTAATTATGTAAAGTGCTGCGAGAAAAGCCTATACATCTAAACATCTCGTCACGCGCAGTATAGCCGGCTAGCCGAAACTCCTTCTTTATGTGTACGGGTGTGACGTCATGACGCAAAGACATGCTCGAATTTCCCGCGGAAACCCACCAGTACCACTGGAATTAAAATCATTATTACAAGCTAACCGTTTTGAATCTAGCTATGGCAAGCAGATAGTTTTGACCACTGGCAGAATAAGTTTTTTTTAAAATAATTATTTTGGATTATTTTTAACTTAAAAAAGTTACGGACTGGAGCTTTAATAAATTTAAATGTAATTTATTCCTTTGATGGCAATGCTGTATTTGTATGTTGATTTGATTTGTTAAAGTTTGGTGTTACAGACACCAAACTTTAAAATTGTAGTAGTTTCTTGCGCTTGCACTATATTCATTCCAATATTTCTAATAATACTGTCTGTTTTTCATTATTGACCTGTAACAGATCTGGTAGTAGCAATTAATGGCATCTGGATCCTAGTGGAGACAAACATGGTAAATGGTAAGATCTGCTTGAGTAATGTAATGTAACAGTAGGACATGCAGTGCAGCTGTGTTGCAGTTCTAGATAATTCTATGAATTCACCATTCAGAAACGCTTGTAAACAGAGGAAACAGTTTTCTCTGTGTGAACCCAATTGAATTTGGCTCTCAGGGAGCTCTTCTCTCCTCACAGATGGTGTCTCATGGACTCACGTTGTCCCCTTGAGTTACATTATTTTCCTCACAAGTAAGTGGAAATTGTTTAAAATGAAATCATTAGTAAATCCAAATGTAAATGTCTTAATGAATATGCGTACCATTTACATTTTTTTTTATCCCCTGCTGATGTGTTTGTGGAATGAAGTTTATGGAATTGAGGTCTTGTTGAAGATCACAGGCCTTGGTCCAATGACATATTTCAGCTCAGGATGGAACCTGTAGGTACACACACATACACTCATATAAGCACTAACACACACACAAACATTCAAACTGCCTCATTGTTGGGTGTGTGCTTCTTTTTCCAGCTTTGATTTCTCAGTAACAGTATTTGCCTTTCTGGGATTGATTGCTCTGGCCTTTGACATGGAGCCGTTCTACTTCATTGTGGTGTTGAGACCTCTTCAGCTCCTCCGGTGTGTGTGTACTCATTTTTGTGTTTTGACGTCTTTTGGTTTGCATATAGTTGTAGTTATTCATTTGATTTTTGTTCTCCCAGAAGTGTTAGACTGAATTGAAAACCTAATTCAAACCTCTCAATAAACAAACAGATTTTAGGCTTGACATTTTTTATTTATTCAACTTTCACTCAAATTGTTATCCTGGTAATGTAATTTATTGCATTATATTAAAAACCAATCAGTTTAGAATTTTTTTTACCCCACTGTAGATAACATCTGCAGTGTAATAACTTTTTTAAGATGTGTCTTTAACTCTGTCATTTTGTGTGAATCATTAAATATCTTTTTTATAATTTATATTTTCATCAGTCATAGCTGATATAGATAGAAACAGACATTTCAAACAGACATTTCATGAACTTGTTGAAAGTTTTTTTTTTCTTATTTCTTGTCAAGGTTGTTTAAAATTAAACAGCGCTATCGGAATGTTCTGGACACAATGTTTGAACTGTTCCCGCGTATGGCCAGGTACAGAAATAATAATCCATTTCAGCTCATTACTCACAGATGAAGGATCTTCTCTCACTCATAACACTCTCTCTGTCTCTATAGTCTAGGTCTGACTCTGATTATCTTCTATTATTCTTTTGCCATCGTTGGAATGGAGTTTTTTGCTGGGGTTGTTTATCCGAACTGCTGCAAGTAAGTCCCTTTAATCATCATAAATGTATTTCTTTTGCAAAAATCAAAACTGACTGAACATCACCTTGAACTTATGCAGTTTATAAATGTAAGATGATCTACTACTGCTGTCCTGTTAGATAATGAATGAATAGTTCACCTCGAAATGAAATCATTTACTCACCCTCGTGTTATTTCAAGTGCGGTGTGTGCAACACTAAAGATGATATTTTAAAGAATGTTTATGAAAGTACAACGTGATCAGTAGATGCCAAGCTACAAAAACGATTCTCATTGAATAGTGTGGTGTGTTTAATGTATGTTCTCTGTCTCTCAAAGGAATAGCACAGTTGCTGACTCGTATCGCCAGATAAATGTGACCATTGGCAACCGAACCGTGCTGGAAGAGGGATATTACTATCTCAATAACTTCAATAACATCCTAAGCAGCTTTGGTATGTGCAACACTACACACTCCTCTCACTTCAGTGTATAGCTTTGTGTAATTTGTAACTGAGTTTTTTTTCTCTTCCATGTTTCAGTCACTCTTTTTGAGCTAACAGTGGTGAACAACTGGTACATCACAATGGTGAGTGTAAACGCACAAAAACACCTGCTGTTTATTGGAATTAAATGTCAGTCAGCAGATTGTTGTGTATCTACCCATGTCATTGTAAACAATGAACATTACATTGTTTAAAAGTGTTGTTTTAAATGTGAAGTAATGCTAACATCTCTAAGTGTTTGTGCAGTGTGTGTGTTTGTAGCAGAAGCCTATGGATCCTATGAGCCAGTCAGTAAATGAGCATCTGTCTGTCATTTGTAGTTCTTGAACACTTTGATCCCTGTTTTCACAGGAAGGTTTGACATCAGAAACTTCTCACTGGACTCGCCTTTATTTCATGACCTTTTACATTGTCACCATGGTAAGGGAATGTGTATGTCGGTAAATCAGGGTTATTATTCCTAACTAAAACTAACAAATTTCAAATAAACTTTCAAATAACAAAAATTATTTTCATATTTTTAGTTAAAATAAAATAGAAGAAAAACTAAACGAAAATTAGAATAGTTATGTAGTTGCTTAATTAATATTAGACAAATAGAGATGTTTAATACTTGTACAATTATAGAATGATGTTGTTTAAAATGGTTTTAGAATGTTATTAAACTATAGAATGTCACACTACTGTTATCAGCAACCCATTTATCTATGTGTTTATAAACCCGATTTAGTGATATTGTTATTTTCTCACAGCTCCGTGTTGTTTTGAGTGTAAATGGCGGTGTGATTATGTGATGCAGGTAGTCATGACGATAATCGTGGCCTTCATACTGGATGCATTTGTCTTCAGGATGAACTACAGTCGGAAGAACAGAGAGCCGCTGGACGACCCAAAAGGTTCTGAATGAGTCCTGTTCATCCAATGACAATGAGTGTGACTGGGACCTATTCCACTGAGATCTAATACTGAGAATGTGTGTGTGTGTGTGTAATAGATGAAAAGGGGATTGTATTTGAGACAGAGGTGTCTCAGACTGAAGCTCTACAGACTCTGGACTTGTATAAACACACACTGGGCGTCACCAACTTAAGCTCACTGCAGGACATGTGTGTGGCTCTGGAGCGTAGCGGGGTGAGTACATGCACATATGTACACGCAGTCTATGTTCAGAGCATCGAATTTTGTTTTTTTAGTAGATTAATTGAACTCTAATGGATCATTTTTGTCTTTGCTCACAGCACTCCTCATTAGTATTTCAGGGTCGAAGGTCACGTACCAAGAGTGACCTCAGCATGAAGATGTACGAGGAGGAGATTCAGGTACTAAAAACCACACATTTAGAAACACATGGAAAAACCAGACTTTTGAATTTGCAAAAATGTAGCATTGTGGTCATAAAAAGTGATGTGTTAACCAGATTTCTTACGTTAATTTGAACCTTTTATTGGAAGTTTTAAGTAAAGCACTCGCAAACGGTTCTCTTATTGGATCAGAAAATTAAATCACGAAAGTCTGAAATTGTAATATATCAGACAGCTATTTATAGAAGGATATGCCCAAGTGGAAACTTGGAAAATTTTGCAAAAGAAAAATAAATGCTACCTAAATTTATTTGAATGAAATCATGTTATGTTGTGCTAAGCTATACTGTGATGTGTTTGGATCAGAATGACCCCCCCTTTTTTAAAACAGAAATTTCCAGATAGGCAATGGTATGTTTGTGTAAAGTGGTTGTTTCTTTTTGTCTGCAGGAATGGTACGAGGAATATTCCAGAACAAACCTTCAGCCTGATGAGACATTCCACAGAGAACTGGACAGCCCTGAAGCCAATGCCTCAAACAGCATTAACTAGCACACCCTCTGAACACTGCATCAGCGTTACCTAACACACTCACTCATACCTCTGAGGGATCGTAAGACCGTCTTCCTCCCATCGATGGAAAGCACAGGTGTTCCCCATGACCACTACATTCTCCCTCCTTCCACATGGAGACCCACAGAACTCCTTTACTGAAAGCCTTATTCCCCAAAAAACCTTAAGGTTCCATGGCCAATCAGGGAAGCTTGCAGGCCAATCATGTGACATGCACTAGGTCCAGGAACCTTCTTTTTTTCTTCCATAAAAATGCACCTCATGACATTTGCCTTTTGGTGGGTGGATCCTGAATGATTCAGACTCTCTCATGGATTTGACAAATGGAGCACAGTGATTGAATGTTTCTGTGGGAGATGAATCAGAACTGAATGTGAGGATTTTAGCACTAAGTGTCTTTCTTCACAGTCTGAGGTATTGCTTAACCAACAGATAAAAGATTATAGTAATAAACTAATGGTGTTTTTAAACTAAAGCTGCTTTTTGCTGGAACCTTTGGACCTATAGAGAGGCTTATTTTGTTATTATTTATAAATATATACAAGCAGATTAAACGTATGTCAGATGCAGTTAAAGGGATAGTTCTCCCAAAATTGAAAATTCTGTCATTAATTACTCACCCGTGTCGTTCCAAAACCCGTAAGACCTTCGTTCATCTTACAAATGAAGATCTTTTTGATGAAATCTGAGGCTGTCCCTCCATTGACAGCTACACAACTGACAGTTTGACGCTTCAAAAAGTTCATAAAGAGGTCGTAAAACTTTGAGTGGTTTAGTCCAAATTTTCTGAAGAGACTCGATTTCTTTATATTTTGACTAAACCGCTCAATTGGCTTTATGCACAGCTGCACTACTTCCTGAACTTCAGCCAGCTCCTTTGTTTCCTGTCTGCCATTATTGGACAAACTGATTAATCCAGGTGTGCCTGGCCTCAGTAACAATAATCAGGCACACCTGGATTAATCAGTTTGTCCAATAATGGCAGACAGGAAACAAAGGAGCTGGCTGAAGTTCAGGAAGTAGTGAAGCTGTGCATAAAGCCTATTCATATGGATTAGTTTTACGATCTCTTAATGAACTTTTTTAAGCGTCAAAGTGGTAGCTAGGTAGCTGTCTATTGAGGGACAGAAATTGTTCAGATTTCATCAAAAAGATCTTCATTTGTATTCAGAAGATGAACGAAGGTCTTACAGGTTTTGGAACGACACGGGGGTGACAGAATTTTCAATTTTGGGTGAACTAAACCTTTAAGAGTCAAGTATTTAAAAAAAAATGTTTTAATACATTCACTTATTCACTCAATATGGGCTGGTTTCCCAGAAGTGTTAATTTTGGACTGATAAATGTTAGAAAACCAGCCCTGGACCTTTCAGTACATTCAAACTACCGTCTTGTCACATATAACAAATATTTTATTTCCTTTGTTTGGAGTCAGTATTGTTTTAGGCATGAATGAGAGTAATTTTACAGACCAGTTCAGATAAAATCTAGTCAAAATCACACATTTTATTCCACCTACAGTCTGATTCTTTCGGCTATCCAGAGTAAATACAAATGTTTCGAAAACCAAATTTTCTTTTGTGTAAAACCATAGGTGACAAAGGGAAACCATTTAGCCTTGCTTATGGTTTTTTGCACAGTTCTTCAAAACTGTTATTTATTTATTTACATTGACTTAAACATATTTTCATGTACATCTCTCTTGTTTGCTGTACTATTTTATGTTTTATTAGTTATTTTCTTGATGCTTTTAACAGGGTGAATGCATGCAAATCCTCATATATCATTGTTTACTATAATGTCTAGAGCATCTGACCTGGAGTAAATCATAAATGTGTTCAGGAGGGTCAGTGATTTCATCCCAGTTGGTTGTTTTTCACTGTAGGATGTGCAGCCTTGATGTTCCAAACACAAGGGAACATGATGCATGTGTGACATCAAACCGAAACCACACCAGCTCCTCTAATCCTGTAGGATTTACCTGTGTTTCAGTTCTCTGTTCTTGTACCTTTGTAAATGTATAATAGCCTAATGACAGGTCTAGTAAATGATACATTTTAATGAAACTTTTTTTTTTCTTTTTCTGCTATTTGTTTGTTACTAGTTGGTTTTTATATGTATTATGTGAGTTGGCTCGTCTTTGTAATTATTACCATGTTTAATTTCATTCGGACTAAAACAATGTACCTTTTTAGATTTCCAGGTAAATGCTTTAGTCCAATGAAATCGTACCAATCCGATTTTTTTTGTTGTTTTTTTTGCTGCGAAATTGAACATTTTCATGGGCAATTATAGGATATAGTAATTTCGCGTAAGGGCGAATATTCCCCCCACGGAGATTTCGCAACAAATGGGTTCGAGTTAGTCACGCGAATTCATAGCGTGGAAGTTACTTGAGTGAGCTTAGCGAAAATAATTGCCCTGGGCGTTTTGCACATGCTTCATGTATATTTCTATTTATATATTTCGACAGGCATGTAGGCCTATACTGTAGCTTGACTAAGCAAAACTCGCTGCAATATATTTCAGTAGCACCTCAATGCAGTACATGAGATCCACGGGGAGGAGTCGGATCCAGATCCAAGGGGTGGAGATGGGTAGGATTAGGGGTGGGTTTAGGGATTAGGGGTGGGTTTAGGGATCAGGGGGCGGAGATGGGTAGGTTTAGGTATATGTAAGGTGGGAGGAGTTGGATCTGGATCCGACTCCTCCCCGTGGATTTCATGTTCTGCAGTGAGGACCATCTCATATATTTTGCGCTTGTAAATAGGCTTGAGTCTATCTCTCTGCTTCTTCCCTGAGAGTGTAACAACAGCAGGTAACTTACAGCTTTCTTCTATTAATACAGTAGGCCTACACGCAGTTAAAAGTTTATCACGATTGTCTCAGAGTAGGCCTACTGATACTGAGGCAACTGACAGTTATTCCCGTCATTTAATCAACAAATTTGACATTGACAGTTGCAGTCTTGCACAATGACTTGCTTTTCTATAGCTTTTGTCGTACGCATTTCTCTACCCGACAGAATGATTTATGAATGTTTGTATGTTAGGACAGCAGGAGGCAGTACAGAGTCCGGGCCATCATCATAGAGCAGGGAACTTGAGTCGTCCTGTTTAATTACCGGTCTCTGTCTCCGTGTGATGATGTGATGTGTGTAGTATAATTATCTTATTTTTCATTTTCCTTCGGTTGTCATCACCTTTGAACCATTTACTCCCCCCCTTCCCTGTTGTTCCAGTGATAGTAAGGTGATACTCTCAACTGAATGTCTGACATCACAGAACTTCCAGAAAACGGGTATCAAATGTTGTAATTGACTTCCACCATAATTATTGTTCTACATTTCAATTAATTTACGCTTACGTACCCCATAAAGCGATAAAAAATCAATATATTACTTCAAATTTATCCATAAAAGAATGTCATGGTCCTTGTTTTAATGTTGGCAGTTATTTCCCGACGTGTTTTTCAGCCGGGGGTCTCTATAGGCCTACATGAAGATTAAAGGGATAGTTCACTTTAAAATTAATTTTTGATATGTTTTAGCTTACCTCAAGGGCATCCAAGATCTAGGTGTCTTTGTGTCCACAGTATTTTCAATTTTGATATTTTTAGGTCAAACCGTTCTTGTCTGTCAGTCACCACCTCAAAGAGCATGCACAGAGAAGTCCAAATTAAACATGATTTAATGACTCGTAAATGTAAGTACACATTGATGGCCTAAGACACGAAACGAGCGGTTTGTGTGAGAAAACGAACAGTATTTATATCGTTTTTACCTCTTGTAAACACAGCCAGGTCCAAGTGATCTGAGGTCGCCGGCGCTTCGGTCTTTTCCGGAAAGCACCGGAAGTGATCTCTCGCGCGTGTACGTCACTCATACAATTGTTTTATTTTTTGGGAATTGTTTTCTTTTACGACGGTTTAAACATCCCGGATAAGCGCAAATTAGTACCCTTTTAACCCTTGTGTTCTGTTCGATTTCTGTGTACACCCCTTATGGACCGGGTCAAATTGACCCTAATTGGATTCAATGCAATTCCTCAAAAATCACACTATGAAAAACAACAAAGATTTAGATACAAACTGTAAACTTTTAATATCAACATTTGTCAAACATTACAAAAACATTATATCTGACAATATGATTAATGAAAATGTTTTTTAAACGTTTTTTTAAACAGTTTTGTTTTGACAAAATTGGAAAATAAACAGTATACTGATTTTTTTTGCATATATTTTTTTTTTTTACTTTTTTTTTTTTTTTTTTTACATTTTATGCTTTGAACATTGTAACTGAACAAAAAAAAATTCCTGTATAATGAACATTTTTCATTTTCCTAAGTTAACTTTCCCTAGTTTCCTAAGACCTATTTTCCTATTTTCATTATTCACTCACTGGGAAGTGAGAAACCAAACATAACAAAAACATACATCAAATAAATGTTTTTTATTTATTTTTTGGCTCTGTGAAGCTGCCTTTGAAAATCCTACACAAAAGTTTTGGTTAAAAGCTAGGTATATAGATATTTTGAATATTGAAATGAGAGCTTATTTTACTATCTGTGTCTGACAAAGATTTTCATCTGTAATTTGCAAATAATTCTGAACACTGTAATTTTAGCTTTTTCAAGTGTGTTTGGTTAGGGTTAGAGCACTTTTAGATGCAATTGCACGTTAGAACTGGAGTTGAAGTGCCCTGACATACAGAAAATAAATGTTTTTTATTTTGTGTCTGTACAGTTGCTTTTGAATGGCTGTCTATGAGGGTCAAATTGACCCGCGAACATCACGAACGTAACAGTAATTTTGTTTGTATATGTCAAAACACATCAGCATGTTGAAACTTTGCATGCATGTTCATCATGATAAATGAGAAAAAGTCACAAAATATCGAGAAAAAAAACAAAGGTTAACCAGTATTTCCAACAACTTGAAAATCGAAACGGGTCAAATTGACCCGCAACATAACACAAGGGTTAATTAGCCGTCTTACCTACACGCGCGAGGTTTCACTTCCGGTGCTTTCCGGAAAAGACCGAAGCGCCGGCGACCTCAGAATGATCACTTGGACCTGGCTCGCTCGTTTCGTGTCTTAGGCCATCAATGTGTACTTACATTTACGAGTCATTAAATCATGTTTAATTTGGACTTCTCTGTGCATGCTCTTTGAGGTGGTGACCAGAGACCTGCATTATATGACTGACAGACAAGAACGGTTTGACCTAAAAATATCAAAATTGAAAATACTGTGGACACAAAGACACCTACATCTTGGATGCCCTTGAGGTAAGCTAAAACATATCAAAAATTAATTTCAAAGTGAACTATCCCTTTAAATTGTTTTTCCTTTGTTTAGTATTAGAAGATGTGTATTCATTTTGTTCAATATTTTATATTATAAAATGTGTGGTTAAAAGAAACAACTTCTTTTTAAAAATCTTTTGTTGACCATATAGTTTTATAAAACCATCATAAAACATCAATTTCTCTTTCTGTAGGCTATAGAATGTTACTGTGGTGGAGATAGGAATCTAAGATATGCAAAGGATTAAAAGGTAGGCAAATGAATTGAAAAACCTGGTCAGCACTTGTTAAGTAATTTAAACCGATTTAAAATGTTACTAAAATCTCACATTTTTATGTTGGGGTTCCTGACAACACATTATTTATAGTGTTAAAATAACTCGATTAAAATCAGTGATATGCCACAAAAAGCCTTTAAATAATCTATCTTTTATAGTATTTTAAACAATAGACACACAAATACAGAGAACCAGTCTGTAGCCTTACCTGGCCATTCTAAGATGAGAAATGAACAGAGAAAGGCTAATTCAAATATGTATATATGTTTATTAGTTGTGGTTTAGTCAGATAAAATAAAATCAAGTGTTTGTCAAATTAGTTAAATGAGAAGTGAGCACTGTGGGTGTTTTCTCCACAACAATGTGCTTTTGGCTGTTTGTTTTTTGCTTACAACACAATCAATCACTGAATCACATGCAGGATTGCACACATTCTCACACAGTGAAGTCTATTATTACTGTTTAGGGTGAGCCCTGAGCCTGGGATGGTTTGTGATTCATTCTTTGTACATTGAGGCTGGCTCCCAATTTAGCCCTTCAAACTCTCCCCCAAACCAGCATCCTGTCTCCTCTGTGACCCTTCCTCTTCCTCCCTCTCTCTTCCTCTCTCTCTTGAGTTCTTCTGTCAGTCACTAGGGAGAGCTGCTGATGCTCTTTGACAGGGAACAGAATGTGTTCAGGACTTTATGTCTGTCCTTTTTTTTTATATAGACACATTGGACAAGCTACATTTTATGATTATGCTGAATCATGACATTGCGCAGTTGTAAAACTTTTACAGGTTTCTCGTAGTGCTGTTCTCACACATATTTCATTGTCCATCAGGGAGAAGAAACGCAGCTTGGGATTTTGAGTGTTTTGTTCCGAACGTAAATATCCTGTATATTCTCAGCCCCCCTTCTTACTTCCTCTGTTAAGAATTATAGTAGCATAACAGACATTTATTTTTAAGATTTAATTTGATTTTGAATGTTTCACAGCATTATTTTAATCATTTCTTCAGATATATTTTTAGTACTGTGACTGCAGTCATTTTACTTTTTAAGTGTAAACATATTCAAATAATCTTTTCAAATAATGTATGCCCAAAACGTTTTATAATCGTTTATTTTTTTATTTTGAATTTAAAAATGTGTACTTTTATTACAAAAAATTAAAACGTTCTCACTTAATGCTTTTACAGCCAGAGTAAAACCCATTGCTCATTTAAGTAAGTCAAGATGTGTTTTCACATTTAATAAGCTTCAGTGGCTCACTAAAATGAGTTGACATGATCAAATCATACTGTCTATATAATATTCATTTTATGAGTATTTAGCAGGAATTCTCATGGTTACTGTGAGCCTGAGAATACTACTCTTTCTCAGCCCAATATAATTTGTGCATGTGTAATTCTCTAGAAGAGTTATTCTGCAGTTGCAGTCACAAGTGATGTCTCTCACATTTAGATAGAACAAAGTCAAACTGCAATGTACACAATTCTTATACAAAACGGTAACACTTTACTTGAAGGGGTGTGCATAAGACTAACATGACACCTTCATAATCATGACATGACACATGTTATGAATATGAAGGAAGTTGTATGCATGTTTATGACAACTGTCATAAAGTGTCATTCACTCAGTTATGACATTTTTAACGCAAATATGACATTGTTTGAGATGTCTTTGTTATGACACCTTGACATAAACAAATACATCATAACCTGTCAGTGTCTTTGTCATGACAACTTGACATTACTAAGACAACACAACCTGTCATAAACATAACATAGCAGATTAATTATCATACTTAAGAAACCACTTAGCTTTACTGGTTAACATTACATTAAACTGTCAGGTGGTTGGTTTTGACATTGGCTGTCATGAGGCCATTATAACATTTTAATGACAAATTCAATTTGTACCACTGTAGTTGAGGTCACAAAAATATTCATGACACAGTTATAATGGCCCCATGACAGCCAGTGTCAAAACCAACCACATGACAGTTTAATTTAATTTAATGTCAAGTTGTCATGACAAAGACACTGACAGGTTATGATGTATTGGTTTATGTCAAGATGTCATAACAAAGACATCTTAAACAATGTCATATTTGCATTCAAAAGACACTTAATGACAGTTGTCATAAACATGCATAAACCCTACTTCATATTCATGACATATGTCATGTCATGGTTATGAAGGTGTCATGTCAGTCTTATGCACACCCCTTCAAGTAAAGTGTTACCTCGAAGACTATACAACTTTTTCTTTAACAATCAAACATTCTCATTAACTGCAATCCAATGTTAAATTGATGAGTGATAAGTTTTGTCTTTTGAACTTTTTTAGATGGACAAGCCACTGTAATTGTAGAATGATGCAGAGACAAATGAACCAGTGCTCCGGAAATATCCATAGTGATCCCAAATTTTGGAGCTTAATTTACTAAAAATCTACACAACAAGACTCAGTGTCAGGTCAGTGTCTGTCAGGTCCAGATTACTATATGTGCCATACAGCTAATTTCAATGAGCCATGATACAAAATCATAAAGCTCCCAATTAAAACAAGTTTTACAAGTGTCAACCATGAACACAAAGGCGGCTCAAAAGAGTGCAGTTTACAAAAGAATAAATAATGGCAGAGCTGCATTTCCTGTCAGAATTAATATATTTCAGTGAAATCCTTTTGAAAGATTCTTCAAATAAATAAAAAGGACATCTGAAGATATTGACAATTGACCAAACAGAAAGAACTGCAGCTCAATAATTGTATTTGTTTGTTGTATTGTGTGAGTCGTGCATGTAATCCTTTCACCTGAAAATCTGTCCTTCAGATCAGAGTGAAGTGAATCAAAGACTTAGAGCTTCTCAGACAAGTTATTTTGTTCAGTCAAAATCATCTCTGTATAACATTTGTGATCATTTACAATGATGTTCCCTTTCCCAATGGTCACATAAAACCATTTCTTTCATGTTTCTCAGTTAGAACAAAGTAATTTACAAGTTTTACATTTTGTAAAATGCAATAAAATCAATTTTGTTCATTCTCTTTTAAATTTATTTAACTGACAAAAGTACAAATAAAAGATTTCCTATTGTTTTCACTGAACAACTTCAGGCAAAATAAACGTGAAACGCTTATATCTTTAACGCCAAGCATATCTGCTGACTCTGTTGATTTTCTCCCTGATTTTTTTAACTCAAAAGTTAAAAGTGTAATTGATGATTTACACCAGTGAAAGTCAGGAAGAAGAGTGGTAGACAAAAAGCAACTTGGAGAAACTCAACAGCAGTGCAAAATATGAAAACACAATGCAGAAAAGCAGAGCGCATGTGGCGGAAGACAAAACTTGTAGTCCATTATAACATCTGCAAAGACAGCATCCATGCTTTAAATGAACTAGGCAAAGTTAGACAGACTTTCTTCTCGAATATTATAAACAGCAACTTAAACAACACACGCACTCTTTTTGCTACTGTAGAAAGACTGACTAACCCCCCAAGCCAGATTCCCAGTGAAATGCTCTCAGACAGCAAGTGCAGTGAGTTTGCTTCTTTCTTCTCTGAGAAAATCAATAATATCAGAAAGGTGATCAGCACATCCTTGAGTTCCACTGCGGTCAGACAGATCAGACCACAACCGGAGAAAGTAGTTACTATGTCGGATTTCGAAGAAATTGATGGCAAAGTTTTTGAAGAAACTGTACAGCACCTTAAAACATCCACCTGCGCCCTTGACGCACTTCCCACATCTTTTTTCAAAAGTGTGTTAAACAGTTTAGAAGCAGATCTCCTAGAAGTGGTAAATGCCTCACTTCTCTCTGGGAGTTTTCCAAACTCCCTGAAAACTGCAGTTGTCAAGCCCCTCCTGAAAAAGAGCAATCTGGATAAGACCATATTAAGCAACTATAGACTGATCTCAAATCTTCCTTTCATAGGCAAGATCATTGAAAAAGTTGTCCTCAATCAGCTGAACAAATTCTTAAGCTTGAATGGATACTTTGACAATTTTCAATCTGGTTTCCGATCGCATCACAGCACAGAGACAGCGCTCATAAAGATAATAAATGATATTTGATTAAATACTGATACAGGCAAATTATCAGTATCTGGTACTACTCGACCTCAGTGCTGCATTTGACAATCTCGATCACAACATACTTCTTGACAGGCTGGAAAACTGGTTGGGGCTTTCTGGGATAGTCCTAAAATGGTTCAGGTCATACTTAGAAGGGAGAGGTTATTATGTGAGTATAGATGTCTGAGGACATCTTATGGAGACCATAATGTCTGAGTGGACATCCATGACATGCGGAGTCCCTCAAGGCTCAATTCTTGCGCCACTCCTATTCAACCTGTATATGCTCCCAATGAACCAAATAACGAGAAAGAACCAAATTGCTTACCACAGCTATGCAGACGACACACAGCTCTACTTAGCCCTATCGCCTAACGACTACAGCCCCATTGACTCCCTGTGCCAATGCATTGATGAAGTAAACAGTTGGATGTGCCAAAACTTTCTTCAGTTAAACAAAGACAAAACTGAAGTCATTGCGTTTGGAAACAAAGATGAAGTTCTCAAGGTGAACGCATACCTTCACTCTAGGGGTCAAACAACTAAAAATCAAGTCAGAAATCTTGGTGTGTCTAGAGTCAGAACTTAGTTTCAGTAGTCATGTCAAAGCAATAACTAAATCAGCATACTATCATCTGAAAAATATTGCAAGAATTAGATGCTTTGTTTCCAGTCAAGACTTAGAGAAACTTGTGCATGCTTTTATCACCAGCAGGGTGGGTTATTGTAATGGACTCCTCACTGGCCTTCCTAAAAAGACCATAAGACAGTTGCAGCTCATACAGAACGCAGCTGCCAGGATTCTGAGGAGAACCAGAAAATATGAACATATCACACCAGTCCTCAGGTCTTTACACTGGCTCCCAGTTACATTTAGGATTGATTTTAAAGTATTATTACTGGTATTTAAATCATTAAATGGGCTAGGACCTCAATATATTGCAGATATGCTCACTAAATATAAACCCAACAGATCACTCAGATCATTAGGATCACATCAGCTAGAAATACCAAGGGTTCACTCTAAGCATGGAGAGTCTGCTTTTAGCTATTATGCCAGCCGCAGCTGGAACCAGCTTCCAGAGGAGATCAGGTGTGCTCCTACAGTTGTCACATTCAAAGCCAGACTCAACACATCTGTTTAGCTGTGCATTTACTGAATGAGCACTGTGCCACTGTTCGTCCGACTGTTTGTACTGTATTTTATTTTATTTTTATCTAAACTGGAATTCTCATGGTTCTTAGCAGGAATTTTTATCTAAACAGTTTAGAATATTTTTATTTTTTTCTAAACTGTTTTAATTATTCTTATTTCTTTTGATTATTTTAATTTCCTCTATGTAAAGCACTTTGAATTACCATTGTGTGTTAAATGTGCTATATAAATAAACTTGCCTCGCCTATAAATTATCAGAGTTAAACTCTTTTGAAACAGCCCACAATAGGTAAATTGGTAAGCTGAGGGTATCGTGATTGAGAGTAAAAGGAGCTCATGGGTCATGGGTCACCACTTTGTGCCGAGTTAATTGTCAAAATATTTAAAAATCACATTTCTCAATGCAGGATTGCAAAGATTTTTGGTCTTTCTACTGTGTGCCCAATAATGAATGTCAGGAGGGGAGTTTAACTGGCCAATGTTTATGCAGCTTTAGACTTACATCAAAGGTGTATGTAATACAAATTCCATTTTCTCTATAAAACAGCTGCTGGTTTGCCTATGATGTCAGTTACTTGAGTTATGCTTCTACTGTTAAATGTTGTTATTTTAAGTAGCCACAGCTGTACATTGTTTCACCCTTCAGCCTTCAATTATGTTAAGTTAAAGATGTAGCAATGCTCAGTATGTCCAGACCAAACGAATCAACTCAGCTGGAATTCCAGAGTTTACTGGTAACAGCAGAATTCCGGAGTCCCTTTCGAATCAATCGCTGCCTAGTTCTAGTGTTTGAGAATGAGCACCCTGATTTCAGAAGTAACCCCCCCAACCCCCCAAAAAAGGCCCTCTGTTGCAACATTGTTTTCTTTTGATCAAAGTTTTATTAAAGAAAGTGTTTTCAGACACTGGGTTTGACAGCCACTGAGAAACTCAAAAGCGTGTTCGGCAGTATGAGAAACAGTATGTTCTGTTCCTTCTGTTGTTTGGACATACTAATTTGTAAACACACGCACGCTTCTGTGTAATGTCATCTGTAATTGGCCATTTCGGTTATCTCAGCTCTCCTCGTTTGAGACATCATTATCTGCCTCGTTATGAGATTGTTAGAACACATCTGACCGTGACCTCTGAGGGGTCTCTCTTTGGGTCGTCGCCATGGTAACCAGAGTCCAGAGTGAATGGAGAGGCTCTGACGTCTCTCAATTTCCTGTGTTTTAAGAAGCTTATCTGGTTTCACACTCTGGGTAAAAGTGTTTGAAAGAGGACACGATTTTACCCAACAGTTAAGAGGCAGAACCTCAAAACTTTCGTGAGACCAGCGACCAGCACTTTCATTAGCAGGAATGCAGAAAATTTACATTAGAAAGAACAGATCTACTGACATTTGCATGTTTATTCACTGCAAAAGATGGTGAAACATTACTGCAGCACATATAAACACTACATATAACACTATGCACATCTGTCTTTAATTTTTCAGGTCATTATATTTGTGTGCGTACTGCTGGAGTGTTTCTTCCTGGTTATGTTTGCCGTCTTCCTTCTCTCTCTCTCTCTCTTTCTGCATTTACCAAAAAGAAGAAAAAAAAACACTTCTTCGTCTTCATCTTCTTCTTGTTCTTGTTCTTATTCTCTCTCTCTCTCTCTCTCTCTCTCTCTCTCTCTCTCTCTCTCTCTCTCTCTCTCTCTCTCTCTCTCTCTCTCTCTCTCTCTCTCTCTCTCTCTCTCTCTCTCTCTCTCTCTCTCTCTCTCTCTCTCTCTCCCTCCCCCTCTCTCCCCCTACAACATCCTTCTCCACCCTCCTTTTCCCAGTGGACAAATGTGGACGTAAAAACTATTTGAATAAATCCTACATCTGGTTGGCTGTTTACTCCCTCATATACTTACACACCCAGAGAATCAACTCCACTTCCAAAATGGAAAAGTCTGCTGGGGGCTAAGCTTATTTTGGCTCGTTTTTCAGCGTGAAACGTGTGCCAGGAGTTTATCGACACCTCGGAGGGACTGAAGACTTCTCTAACTTTGCACCGGAAACTGAGAGGTATGTTAAGCTGCAGAGTGCTGTGGTCATTTCTCAAGTCATCTTGCAAGAAAAATGACTAAATTACCTTAAGTTAACTTCTTAAGATCCTGAATGTAAAATTAGAAGTATATCTGGAAAATATGTAAGGAGATGCATTAGCCAGTGGGATGAATTTCATAGGTGCTATTGCTATTATGATTATGTCAGATTATTATCAAACTGTTAATCTCATTATCTCTTTCATAATTCCAATTCCAGCCTACAAACTATCAAATCAGTTAATGAAAACGATATGATGTTAGCGCAGTCTAAAGTATTTATCTTGGTACATGTTTTGCACTGTGGCGTCACTATATTTCCTTTTCTTTACTGTAATGTATTAGAAATTAGGAAGTCTCATTTTACTTATAAATTGTGAGTTTGAATGTCATTTTTTCAAGGGAGCAGAATCACTCTAGGCAAACGTGGACTTTGCAGTTCTTCTAAAGCTATATGACGTGTAATATGAACCAAATATGAGGGAAATACTTTAGATCGTTTGAGTGGTTAATCTATTACTGCATCATTCTGAAAGAATTTACATTTTTCATTTATTATATTAGATAACTAAGCTTTCCAACGACTTAAACAGAATTAGTGTGTGAACTTGACAGGCGTAGCTTTCTGATTAAGAACATGTGCACCATTTGAAATATGACTGGAATTATTTTCAACAGCTGTGAACATTATTTAGAGCTTAGAGTGTGTAATGTTAATCTTCATAAATGAATTCTTATGACAGGGGTGAGCGGATATAAATGATGAGAAACTTGTTCGCTTAGTATATCCTACAACACAGGCAGATTCCTAATATATTCAACATATTAAAACTTGAAGATATTTTCAATATAAGAAATCATTTATTTACATTTTTAGATCTAATCATAGTTAAAATAACTTGCATTACCTTTAAAAAAACTTCAATCTGCAAAATATGTCAGCAGTTGCTAGAGGATTTGATCCTGTTACTTGATTGTGATTGCGATTTTTTTTTTTTTTTTTTTTGGCTGGTGTGTGATTATGTTGTGCAATTATGCATTCATTACTTGAGCTCATTGGTAAAATATGAAAAGAATGACCGGACACCTACTTTGTGTTATACAGTACATACTATTAGGGAGCAGGACTGAATCTTGTTCGTACACCCCCCAAACTCCACAACTGATTTCCTAGCCAATCAAATATCTTCATGTGCCCCCCGCCTATGTTAACAGTAACCAGATGTATTGTGAGCAGCCTACTGAGAGCTATAAAACACATCTGTGCTGGACACAAACTCACCAGAGCTATGGTTACACACATTCACACACTCGCTTTCTCACGTTTCTTTCTTTCTCTCACTCACAGATTCTCTTTCTCACACTGACAAGATGTAAAGGAGAGGATGCTGCAACATCAGTCCCAGTGGACTGTCGATGGTCAGTATATGGTGGGATTTCTTCCCTCTGGTTTATAGCTCTAATCACGTAACAGACAGACAATGAAGCTGTCCACAACCGTGGGACCAGTGCTTGAAATAGGACTCGAAGTGTTTTCTGTGTCCGTGAAGGGTTTGAATGTTTTTATGCATAGTCACTCACAAGAGACATTTTTCTCACTTTTATTTAGTTAGTTTTTCTTTATTCTGGCAACCTGTGAAATTCAGCCTGTGACTTATAGCTGTTTTATGACTTTTTCTTTGCTTTTGGGCGAAACGTTCAGGAGTTTCACAATCTTGTATTTTCTACTTGAGGGGATCAAGAAGTTTTAGTGAAGGAGTATGATAGATGATTTTGCATTTTATCACAAGGCTACAATAACATGTTTCATCATTTCTGCTTCACATGAGAACTTTCTTTTCATTACAGAACTTCAGAATCACCTGTATAATCAGCAGTGACGCCATGGAGACAGACTCCGCTCATAACCTGACTTCACCCGATGTGTCATTGCTGCAGCATAATATGACGAATTCATGTGACTACATGTCTTCCTCAACTTCGCAGTACCAGAAGAAAGTGATCCCCGCCTTCTACAGCCTCATCTTCTTACTGGGTTTTTTTGGTAACATGCTGGTGTTGTGCGTGCTATATCACAGTTCAGGCCGAAGAACCGTAGCCAACACGTATCTGATGAATCTAGCCATGTCGGACTTGCTGTTCCTGAGCTCTTTGCCATTCTGGGCTGTGTATTATTCGCTGGATTACAACTGGGTTTTTGGGAAGATTATGTGTAAGCTGTGTGGGGGTTTGGTCACTATAAACGTCTACGCTAGTATCTTTTTCATCACCTGTATGAGTGTGGATCGATATCACGCCATTGTCTACCCCCTGCACTCTCAGAGCAGTAGGAGCATCAACCGGGCCAGATGCGTCAGCGCCATCATTTGGGTCGTTGCGGCTCTGACCACGCTGCCAACAGTTGTGTTCCGTGACATACACACTCTTCCCAGTTACAACGTCACGGCTTGTGTCATTTATTACCCCAGCTCCATCTGGCAAACTGGGTTAACTCTTGCAAAGAACATCCTTGGATTCTTCTTGCCGTTTGTTGTCATAGCTACTTGCTACAGCCTAATAGCCGTGCACCTTTTGGCCACCCCGAACCACCTGGAGCAAGACTCTGGCCGATTGGTCCACGTGTTGCGTTTGGTGGCTGCCGTGGTATTGGCGTTTTTCTTTTGCTGGTTCCCATTCCACGTGCTGGCGTTTCTCGGAGCTCTGGTAGAGCTGGGGGTGGAGTGGGATTGTTGGATGCTCCAAGTAATGCATAAACTCCTGCCATTCTTCCTCTGCCTCGGCTTTTCCAACTCTGCCATAAACCCTTTCCTGTACTGTTTTGTGGGAAATCACTTCCGGGAGAAGCTGTGGCAGCTTTACGGGGGTATGCTGACACAGAAAAGAGATTCTATCAGCACAAGACTGTCTTCCTTCTCCAGGAAACTGAGTGACTTCAAAGAGACCGTGCCTATGGAGATTCTTGAGCAGCAGAGCAGCCCATAGTGAAATCTCGTGAAGCTGTAACCTTTACATGCTATCATTACAAACTACTGAGGACCATGGCCCTGTACCAAATGGCACACTTCATATCATGAGCACCCCCTTTGTGGTCGATATGCGCCCTCGATGAGCACTTTTGCCAAGCCCACACTGAAGCGGGCTCCGCAGCAAACTTCTTCCCAACAGTCAAAGCGGCGTTACGTCACGAAAGTTTTTAGGGTGCCATTTGGGACAGGGCCTATGTCAACAGTCAGCATCAGTCAAGTCTATTTCCATGGCCTGCCACTTGTTCAGGATAATCAGTTCAGATGATATTGGTGGTTGATTACCTTATTTCTAATTATGCAGGGGTTGTGATTAGCCCCACCATCTACAAATAACATTTGGTTACATAATAAAATGTAAAAATATAGCCCAAATTTTATTCTTGTGTTGTTCAGACTCTATCCAGGATGAGGAACTTCCTGATTTTTCTGCACAAATCATAGATGATAAAAAATGTTTTTGAATACAGTCTGTACATTCAGAGTTCTAAATAACACTCAAATGTTAGACAGTGTTATACGTGTCTTTCATTATATGGGCAATATCTGCCAGAAAGACCCAACTTCTATCTTTAAGCTGTAATATAAAAATTCACTGTAATGTCACATGAGCTGTTTAAATTATAAATCATTGTAAATTGAATTATAATTATATTATAATGGAGCATCGTTAATAAATGATCTATCTATCTATCTATCTATCTATCTATCTATCTATCTATCTATCTATCTATCTATCTATCTATCTATCTATCTATCTATCTATCTATCTTATCTATCTTATCTATCTTATCTATCTTATCTATCTATCTATCTTATCTATCTATCTATCTATGCTTAGGCCTACTGTATCAATGGCTTGTCTGTCACTTATCTTAAAAGTAGATGCTTGAGTTAACAGACTAAAACAGATGTAGATCGACACACCTTTCAAGTCATGTTGGGTCATCTGAAACACATGCTGGAGTAATGAACATACTTACAGTAACAGCAGTTCTTCTGGGAGGAATCTGGAAGAACCCACTTAGCATTTAGTGATAGTATTCCTTCTGTCTCTGAGAGTTTTAGCAGTAGTTCAGTAGGAATTTGTAGCGTACATATTTCTCATATTTTACTTAATTAATTCAGTTTTTAATTAAGTCTGTCATTCATTGTAGACACCCTTGCTGCACACATTTCCTTTAACGTCTTTTTCTCACATTTCAGGAATCCTGTTGTCTTGGTTATTTGAATACTTGTCATTCGTTGTTTTCTAAACCTCCCGTCAATTAAATATTCAGACATCAGTTCTCCTCTGTCAGTACTTATTTCAATTTCAATTTATTTATAAAGACAAAATCAAGATTCTGGAACTTTTTAGTTAAAGTTAAATGGATGAAAATGTTTGTATATCAAGCTCCTTCCTACCAAACAGATGCACTTCTGAGATGTAATGAGATGCCTTATGTCTGAAAGCAGTGAAACAGGCTTGAAACTATTGACTCATCATTCATAAGAAACACGAGGAGGATGTTTTAGACAGATAAAAATGTGGATAGATAAGAGAAACCATAATAGTTAAGAATCTGGACCGTTTGGTGCAGAGGTTTCAGGTACAGATTTCCAACCTCTAAAATCTCAAATGTTGTGAGTGTGACTCACTAGACCCACTGCAACATGTAAAATATCCACCTATAGATATATTGTTCTTGTAAATGTGTAAAGATTCACTCAAATATATTTTATATATTATTATTGTTTTAACATCTGACTGTGGTATATGTGACTGTTAATCAAATATATACTTTTGAAAATCTGAGAATAAAAACCAGAATCTACCAGAATCTTGTTTTTTCTTTCCGTTGAATTTAGGCTTATAAGCCACAAAATACAGATACTTTCTAGCCAGTGATTGTAAGTTTGTTGTGTTGATGAACAGAATTTATTAATACATTTATTACTGCAGGTATATACTGTTCCAGCCAACATACATGTTGCACACTGTACATCTGTGCAAATAGATGTCTGTAAACTTAAGAGGTTAGATGGTCTTTGGTGCACCCCATTTGTCTCACGTTGTCATTGTTTCATAACACAGTGTCTTGGAACATTCAAACTGTAACTGGACTGCAGACAAAACCCACGCGCACACACAAATATGAACACAGACATACATCAAGGAAATAAATTCAAAGGTGTGTGAATGTGAGTTCCCAGCAAGCAGTTTTACGTTTAAAAGACGTTTAATAGCCGTCAAAACACAGCCCTGGCGTCTAGGCTTAAACAAGGCAAAATTTGGGCTGTCAGTGAAAATTTAATTGACTTTGCTTACATGATGGAATATCATACATCTCACAAGTTATTTTGGCAAAAACGACATGTAATCAAATTCAAGGTTATTTTGGCTAGAAGTGGGTTACTCATACTATATCGGGTCTAGATGGTGAAATGACGGCTATTGCTTGCTGAGTTATGTCTAGTTTTTTGTATTATTATTATTTGGTTTGCTTTTTTGGAGGTGTGTGCAGGTGCATGGGAGGTGTGTGTTGTGTGTGTCTGTGTGCATATGTAGTGGTTGCAGTCCACTACAGACTAACTTTTTTACAGACTAAACTGCACAGATTTCCACACACAGGTAAGACACCATATCAGAGAAATGCACTGTCTTGTATGTTTAAACACATTTAGGGGGTGTGTACAGTTTTGGCTGTAGGCTATCTGAGGGCCATTTTGTAAATGTCCTCTAAGATATAGTGAAGCATGTCTGAAACCATGCTACTTAAAGTGCTCCTTGTGAAAATGATTGCGTATATGAGAGGTCCTTAATAATATAGGCTTAGCTCTTAATGTCTTGGTGTAAGGGTGTAAAAGCTTTTCTGTGTGTCTTCAAGAGTTTTTGTTTGAGTGGGTTTGGATTATGTCGTAGGGGGTTCTTCCTCTGACTGTGATCAATGAAATTTCAACAAAACAAGCATTGAAGATGATTTCACTGTTCTGGGAAGTGAGGAGGACATCCTGCCATTATGTTTGAGACTTAACCAATAGTGTGTGTGTGATGTTGTACTTTTTATCCTGAAATGTTTTAAGAAGAGGACATGGCTTTTATGAATGAATTAACTAATCTTGTGATGGCAAGAAATTAAAATATCACATATAGTGAAGCATTGCAACAACAACAAAAAAAAAAAGACATTTGAAGTGCAGAGACACAATTTGAAAGGCTTTTTTCTTTTTTTGGTTTAAATCTAATAATGTCAACAGTTTTGTAAGAGATTTCGGATTAGCGATAAAGGTAATTATCTTACCTTTGCACGCGCAGTTATAATGGAGAAACAGCTTGCAGCTGTATGTACAAATAATATAGGCCTACATGAGACAAATGATTGTTCATCGCGCTTCACCGCTGTCTTTCGAACCATACACAACGTCGAGGACTCGAGGCCAAATTACATTGACATCGCAAAAGGCGGACTGCTACAATTTAGCCGAGATAAAGCGTTTACATTATATTTAATAAGACGTTGTTTTAGTCCGACTTACGTCAAACCTTTAAAGTGCATGCACGCACATTATTCAAACTGTAAACTGTAGTAAATAGTAAACTGAAATCCAAACACCAATGAGGTAAATGCAATACGTGGAATATATCTAGCTTCATATTACTTTAATATCATGTAGGATAATTAGCTAAAACAAAGCAAAAAGACAAAGCATTCCACAAGCATATGAGCAAATAAACACACACAAGGTGACTAAATATTCATCACTTTTGTTTGTGTTGCTGTGTGTTTTATGACCTGCTCTTCCTCTTCGCCATTGTCCTTAACGTCTTCCAGCTCGTTTATTTTTGGCAACTTATGTCTTCACTACTTAAGTGCTAAAGGACTAATACATCATCACAACACAATGCAATTACTATGTCAAGTGAAATTCTACGGAGTCCCTAAAGGGACCTTTGCAAAAATAAAAATATACAGACTTTGCAAAAGAAAAAAAGATATAGCCTACAGAAACTAATCGCGTGCGCACAGTGCATGAGGAAGACAAAAAATATTCACAACACATTTTACTGCGACAGCACCAGAGTTTCTGTTGTAGATGGTATGCGAGATAATGCAAAAACAAATGTGGTTGTGCAGCATTTTTGTATGTGCATGCGTTTCTGTGTACTGTGTAGTACAGAAATTGGCTTTATGCCACAGCTTCACTACTTCCTGAACTTCAGCCAGCCCTTTGTTTCCTGTCTGTCATTATTGGACAAACTGATTAATCCAGGTGTGCCTGATTATTGTTACTGAGGCCAGGCACACCTGGATTAATCAGTTTGTCCAATAATGACAGACAGGAAACAAAGGGCTGGCTGAAGTTCAGGAAGTAGTGAAGCTGTGGCATAAAGCCTATTGGCACCAAAAAGAAAGAGAACACATCAAACAATGTATGGATTATACTAAAATGGGATATAGAGAAACTGAGGAATACTGTAAAATCTGATATCTTTTACTTCATGTGTTTCTAATATAGGCCTGACTGAGGAAGAGGATCTCACCATGTCCAGTGGTAATAACATGCACAAACACAAACAATAAAAAATATACTTGTGAACAAAATACACTCTAACAGAGGTTTTCTGTGATTGTAGATGTTAACCGGCAGGCTGTGTTCCAGACAACAAAAGTTCGAACCCATTTGAAAAAAGATGGAAGTTGGATTCACGGATCTCAAGAGGTTCTGGACACTCAGTCAGATGTAAAATGGTAAATGCACACTTATGCTGTCACCTGCTGGCTGAGAGTGGTAGTACCAACCAGTAAAAGGTCTTTCCTGTGATTCTATGAACACTGAAAAATGGATCAATGTTAACATCATTGTCTCTTTCCCTCTCACTCTTAGTTCATCTCACTCTTTTTTTCTGTTCACTCTCTAACAGTAAACCAGCAAAGCTTGTAAAGCCTAAGAATGAATCATCACCTGAGAGCAATCGGGTCACTTCCTCCATCATACCATGTTCAAAGAGTGGCGCCACCACCTCCTCCAGCCTGGACACGTCCACAACCCCTCAAAGCTCTTATGTCATGTCAGCCGTAAGGAAGTTTGAGTGAGAGCTGTTCTTATTTTCCTTGTGTGTTATTTATGTATTCAATGTTTCTACATTCTATACATGTTTCCATCCAAATAACTCCAGCTATCTGCACTCCCTTAGGTCTGTAAGCTCAACAAAAAACACACCAGTCAAGAGAGGGTCCCATCTGGCCAAAAGGTTTGGTGGCGCTCTCTGTACTGGATAGAGCCTTTTATCCTTTAATTTCCTCATTTGCAAGTTAGAATGTCTTAGATGTTCACACTTATTTATTCATAACAGACTATATTTAATATTTCATGAGGTGTAGAAGAACAATCAGATGCTTCATAATTATTCTGAATGTGTTCCAGTCCATATCCTGTCCTTGAGGAGTCCAAGAGAGCACATGCAGAGGATGTAACAGTCAAACCTGTAGAAGAACCACCAAAGACACCAGCAGATGCTCCTGTAAATGTAGTGGAGAAACCTATAGTCAAACTTCTAGAGGAACCATTGAAGACACCTGCAGATGCTTATAAAAAGGATGTAGTAGAGAAACCTGTAGTCAAACCTGCAGAGGAACCGTTGAAGACACCTGCAGATGCTCTTAAAAAGGACGTAGTGGAGAAACTGTTAAAGACACCTGCAGATGCTCTTAAAAATGACGTAGTGGAGAAACATATAGTCAAATCTGTAGAGGAACCGTTGAAGACACCTGCAGATGCTCTTAACAAGGACGTAGTGGAGAAACCTATAGTCAAACCTGTAGAGGAACCGTTGAAGACACCTGCAGATGCTCTTAAAAAGGACGTGGTGGAGAAACCTATAGTCAAACTTGTAGAGGAACCGTTGAAGACACCTGCGGATGCTCTTAAAAAGGACGTAGTGGAGAAACCTATAGTCAAACCTGTAGAGGAACCGTTGAGGACACCTGCAGATGCTCTTAAAAAGGACGTAGTGGAGAAACCTAGAGTCAAACCTGTAGAGGAACCGTTGAAGACACCTGCATATGCTATTAAAAACGACGAAGTAGATAAACCTATAGTCAAACCTGTAGAGGAACTGTTGAAGACACCTGCGGATGCTCTTAAAAAGGACGTAGTGGAGAAACCTATAGTCAAACCTGTAGAGGAACCGTTGAGGACACCTGCGGATGCTCTTAAAAAGGACGTAGTGGAGAAACCTATAGTCAAACCTGTAGAGGAACCGTTGAAGACACCTGCAGATGCTCTTAAAAAGGATGTAGTGGAGAAACCTATAGTCAAACCTGTAGAGGAACCGTTGAAGACACCTGCAGATGCTCTTAAAAAGGACATAGTGGAGAAACCTATAGTCAAACCTGTAGCGGAACCGTTGAAGACACCTGCAGATGCTATTAAAAAGGACGAAGTAGATAAACCTATAGTCAAACTTGTAGAGGAACCGTTGAAGACACCTGCGGATGCTCTTAAAAAGGACGTAGTGGAGAAACCTATAGTCAAACCTGTAGAGGAACCGTTGAAGACACCTGCAG